CAAGGTTATGATAATGGGAGTAACATGAAAGGCGAAGAAAGTGGCGTATGACAGAGTCCTGGACGTAAACCCACGTGCCTTTTCTGTGCCCTGCAATGCACATTCTTTAAGTTTGGTAGTCAATAATCCCACTAAGTGTTTTCTAAAAGCAACTAGTTTTTTCAGTTTGGTTCAACAGATCTGTAACTATTTCTCTGTATTGACTTAGTGTGGGCAAACTGTATCAGACTTAGGTATAATTGTTAAGCCATTGAGAGAAACAAGATGGCAGGGTCAGATTAATCCTTTGAAACCACTGAGATATCATCTTGGTAGCATATATGATGCTAGTCACAGCCCCAACCTTAATACCTGACTCCTGCCCCATCTCAGTAAGTAGCAATGTGGTACCACCCCACCTCACAAACTGCTTATGGACTGTTGCATTTCCCAAGGAGTCTTTGGTTATGGTCTTTGTCCAAAGCTTTTTGAAAGTCTATGTGCACACTGTCTACCAGATCACACCTATCATTATACTTACTGCATGCTCAAAGAGTGCTGAAAGGTTTGTGTAATAGGTTCTACAATTAACACTATTAACTGGTCTCATGAAACAGCAACTGCTGTTGATATCAGTTGATGGGAAATTTCAGAGCATAATACTGAGGACTGGACAAGCTATATGTCTAAATACTCTCATGTGGAGTAATTAACAGCTCTTTTAATTTTAATAAATTTTAATAAATGCAGTATACCATGTCTTACCCATTCTGGAGCTATACAGCAGCTGCTGGTACTTGGGACCATCTTTTCCCTACAGGACTGTAGGTAAAATTATCTTACAGATTCATTGTTCTTCCATTTTACTCCACAGGAGCTCAGCAAAGCAACTGTTCCAGCCAGAACTCAGCCAGTTTCAATGTCTAGTCTGAATCTGAATCAAGAGCCCATTTATTGGCACATTATACCCCAACCTATTTATTAATTATCTTCCTCCAAATTGTTCTCAATAGCTCACCTTACAAACAAGTCCACTTCAGATTAAGATCTGGAGAAACTGAGTGAGGTGCTCTTGGTTGTTGTTTTTTTTTATGAGTTAAATTAATTCAATTGTATCTGTTTTTGCTTCCTATTTCTCAATCTGCGCAGTCAGTGTGTCTGTCATATTCTCTCAGCCGTCTTGTTATTATTTGGTCAGTCTCTCCCGTACAGCCTTACGCTGCTATTGCTACACATTTTTAATTAGTTCCACCACAGCCATCAGCTTTGTGATTAGCTTTGCATCTTAGAACACCTGGTGTGACTTAAGAAATTACTTGCCATCTGGCCTAATATCGGATAATTATAACAACATAATGGCAGGATTTTTTTTTTTAATGCTATTTGCTGAGATACTTGATAATTTCTCCACATTCAATGTGCCATGTCATTTGGCTGCATTTAAATCCAAACATCCTCAGCATTTTAACTCATAATGTCCTTTCTGGGGGTTTTCCCAGTGGAACATCACTTCGAACTTTACTTGATTTTAATTGTCACAGGTCTGTGTCTAACGGACTTTGTGAAGTGCTTCTTGAAATTCACCGGGATGATACTTATTCAAGAACTTCCATTGCATATTAATAAATGAAGTGGCAAATGGGCCTTGTCTGGCAAGCAAATGCTGAGACTACTGCAGGGGGCCATTTCTGAAGTGTACACATAAATGGAAGGTCTCTAAATGGGCCATCAGTGTATCCTTCCTTTCCCATACAATGTGGGAAGGGTGAAAGTCGCTGGCAGATGATATTTGGCACAGAGCTATAAATAAGTCAATATCTTGTGAAAATCAGTGGGTCGGGTAATGGGCTTCATGCAGTGTGGCTCATTGTATGATTAGCTCTCTTTATGGTGTTCAACTTTTTCTTCAAGGTAATATATCTAAGGAACAAGTCCCTCACATACAGACATTTCCCTTAGTGCCACTTTTGCCGGTAATGAAAGCAATGTGTTACTTAAGACAGTGTGTGTGTGTACATATATGAAATGTTGTGGCCTCTTGAAAAATGTGATCTAATTCTTTCTTAGTATTAACATTTTGGAATACAGTGGTGCCTCGGGTTACATACGCTTCAGGTTACAGACTCCGCTAACCCAAAAAGAGTACCTCGGGTTAAGAACTTTGCTTCAGGATGAGAACAGAAATTGTGCTCCGGCTGCGCAGTGGTAGTGGGAGGCCCCATTAGCTAAAGTGGTACTTCAGGTTAAGAACAGTTTTGGGTTAAGAACGGATCTCCAGAACGAATTAAGTTCTTAACCCGAGGTACCACTGTACTGCGTTCTCCATTAAGTCAGATTGAGGAATGGGGCTGTATGATACATAATGTCCCTCCCCCTCTTACACTTTTCAAAGTAACGCTGAAGTCTATTTCAGAGAATTTGAGGGTTTTTGCACACATTTATAGCTCACAAGGTATTCTTTTTCAGTAATGGCAAGAATATCCTGCTGTAGTTCTTTGTGCCATCATATCTGAAGATTCTCCCTCTCTTTCTCTTTCCATCCCCTCCCTCCGCCCCCAAACCTAGGGACATTAAGTGTACATACAAATCTTCACAGAATCAGGCAGGAAATATTACAGAAGAACTGAAACGCTTTTCCAAAAGATGAGTGTAAGACTATAAATAGGAACCTCTTAGGGTAAGCTTTTTTTGGTGGGGGGTGATGGTAGTAAATCTGCGCAACGCAGCTTCAAAAAGCTTATTAAATCAGCCAGTCTACTATTTCATTTCATTTCTTCATGCAAAATTCATAAAATACTCATTGTAACATAACGATATCAAAGTCACTGGTATACGTGTGGCAGACGTATGAAACTAATATGATGAGAGTGAAGATAGCTGCTCAGACTTACATTTAATGGGATTATGAAATATACTAATGAATACAGAACAACCTGGAAAATATCATTATGTGTTCAAAGCTGGGACTGTTTGAATTACTTCTGAGTCAAAAATAATAGTATGTTATTGATCATTTCCCCCCCCCTTTCTGCACTACTTTGCTTTGTTCAGTACCAGGAATTTTAGACGATACCAAATCTAATTATCTTTTCAAGGCCAGAGTTTGATTGAAAAATGTTGTGAGCAACCAGAGAGGTAACAGTATAGAAATAAGTTTTTATCAGACTTTTTTAATGCCACACCTAGCACCTTTTTACTTTTTGCCTTGTGGATTGTTTTGATGGACAATCGGCGTAAATATATTTCAAAGAAATACACACATAAATGCATGTGTTTTTAATTTCCTTTTCTAGATTAGCAAGTCATTCTTGGGATTCCTTTGTATTGTTTTACAGGAATTTATGTTTTATTGCATTTACATATATTGCAGTTTATGTGAGTGGATGGTATATATAAAGACTTATAAAACAAACAAACAAAATGGTAATCTTTTGTTGACCCTCTTGGGAACTGCAGATATTTTTTTTCAGAAACTATGTGATGATTTTGTTCTTTTTTTCCAGGCAACTTTCCCTAATGTAATGCAAATTTGAATGCTACCTTCAATAATGTATATGTCTTGTGCATTTAATATACGCACACTTTCCTCTAACAACACTATTTCCCCTTTGGGAAAGGAATTTTTGCTAGTCTCTCTAGGAATTTTTTGCGAAGCCACTGATAGGCCCTTGGGACTCCTTCTGAATACCAGTTGCAGGGGAACAATAGTGAGAAAGAGTATCCCATAGGTGCCTCTGGGTTTTCCATAAGTATGTGGCTCCACCATAGGCATTTGGCTGGTGTCTGTGGGAAAGAGGATGCTGGACTAGATAAGGCTCTTCTTACATTTTTACCTTTTCTCAGCCTTCGGCCATCCCATCTGTGGGGTGTTGTTCCCAACCAAACTGACAACTTTCTTTCCCTCACAGAAGCTGGGCTGAAAATCGTCTCCCTCGCCCTCCCAAGAAGCTAAACGTTCTCACCAGTCATCACATTCTGGGTCATCGCACCAATCAGTTGACAACACAACAGAGATCACAAATTTCAGTTGTTCTCTGTTTGTGGCCTTCATCCTAATGACCATCACTTGATAGACTACAACACACTTCCTGAATGAACTATCTTAGCTGCAGCTGGCTGGCGCGAAATGGCTGAACAATCGTTCCTTTGTCAGGTTGACAGGATCACTTGAGCAGCTGCTATTCCATAAGAACACATGTCTTGCTATATATGGGCCCCAAACAAAATACTTCTCTCATAGCGGCCTAAAGGGCTGTAGATGAAGTGTTTGTAACCGTTATAAAAACATAATTATATCACAACTCTTTGGGCAAGGAACAGACATGTAAGTCAGGCTTGCCATACCTGAGAAGGTCACCTAGAGCTGCTTTATGTGGCTTTTAATATTTACAGCATGTATTTAATATAATGGCACCTTGTTAACTTTTCCTGCCTTGCTTGGCAAGTAGGTTATAGTGGAAATCTTGGCTGGGACCCAACAAACTTCTTAAGCTCATGCATGGAGCTTGCACAGGCCCTTAGGATCCCTTTTCTTCCTCTTGGAACTGCTGGTTCCCAGCTTAGATCACAAACTACCTTTGAGCATCAGTTCCTGAAGTAGTTTTCTATGCAACACAGAAAGGGTGGCAGGGTAGGAAGTGGGTTTGGCAAAAAGCGGACAGTCTTGAAGCTCTCCTGGGATTATGATGGAACCAGTTCTATTAGATGTTGCTTCTTCTTGTTGTTGTTATTTAATTTATATACCACTAATATTCCAAAATGGCTTCCAAGCAGTTTGCAAGTACAGAGGACCAGCCCATCTATGGCCATTAACCACGGTCAACTGCTAAGCCGTGTTGTTAGATTTAATTTCTCTTATCCTACAGTTTTATATGAGAGTGTGCTATTGACTTATAGGCACACAGGAAGCTGCCTTAGATATAAGTCAGAACATTAGTCCATCTAGCCTAGCGCTGTCTACACTAAGTACTATCATAGAATCATAGAGTTGGAAGAGACCCTAAGAATCATCTAGCCTAAGCTATCCCATATGGAAATTGAACCTACAACATTGGCATTTTCAGCACTATGCTCTAACCAACTGAGCTAAGTCAAAATTCGCAGTTCTCTGATTTTTTTTCTAGCCGATTAACGTATACAAAATGCATATATTAGAGAAAATGAGATAGGAAAAGGGAAACTTGCTTTGTAAAAATGTGTATATTAGGCAAAAATTGCACACACAAGCGTGTATGTTAGGAAAAGCTCATGCTGAAATGGTGGTGAATTTTCACTTTTAAAAAAAATGCAAACCACTGTGGAGAAATGTACTTGAAATTGGAAGGACGAGAAACCCAACTTGACAGATTCACCAGATCTCCCTGTTTGTGAGATTCCAAAAGGGATCTGGCTGTCCACTGTTGGAAACAGAATGCTGGGCTGGAAACAGAGAGCTTGTTCTTACAGCTATTATCTTTTAAATTCTATTATTTTATGGAATTTGTTTCATATTTGGTGGTATGTCATCATGACAACTGGCTTTGTTTTAAAAATGAACGTGTCCTTTTTCAGCGTGCTTCCCTCCCTCCCTCCCTCTCTAACTTCTTAGTAGTATTTTTAAGACTCTTTCCAGAAATTGAGTGGCAAGAATCCACCACAGAACCAGGTGTGCCACAGCCCTTTGAAAACAAATGGGCTCAAGCACACCTCTAACTCTGATTTGGATTGTGGCCATAACCTCTTTGAATGATATTTCATGTTGCAATATTCATGCCTTAATTTCCTGACATTCTATGGCTTTTACTCTTTGTCATCCGGACCAATTAGCTGTTCATTACTGCCCAACTCTTTAAACAGCTAATGGATATGCTTAGCCTATTTAAGTCTAAGTTAATGAAAAGCTCAGTTATTCAACAGCCTCTCTCGGTGCTGGTTTCTCATTCTAAAATAAAAGGCACACATAATTTTAAGTTAAACTTTAGGTATTGCTGAATTATTTCTGATACTCTCAAGCAGGTTTCAAAATCTGTGCCAGGCACCCAAGCCCTTTGCATGCCTCTCTTCACATGATCAGCAAAACTGCTTAGAGCTGCATTTTCCCCAAATTTAAAATTGACCAGCATAATTTCCAGCATCTAGTTTAGCATATATTCCCCTTCCCTGGCCTGCCAACTCATTACAGTGGTACCTCGGGTTACATACGCTTCAGGTTACATATGCTTCAGATTACAGACTCCACTAACCCAGAAATAGTACCTCGGGTTAAGAACTTTGCTTCAGGATGAGAACAGAAATCGTGCTCTGGCGGCGCAGCAGCAGCAGGAGGCCCCATTCGCTAAAGTGGTGCTTCAGGTTAAGAACAGTTTCAGGATAAGAACAGACCTCCGGAACGAATTAAGTACTTAACCCGAGGTACCACTGTATATGAATGGCACAACTGACTGACACCCAACCTCCCCACTCTGGACCACACACAACTTGCCCTCTGCTGGCTCAATGGCATATCTGAAAATTTAAGGAACTGTCAGTGTCAGCACAAAATACCCATTGTACAGGAGAAAAACTGCAGATATTCAGGCTACAACTCAAAAATAGACAAAAGATATACCCCCGCAAAGCAAATAAAACAGAGACAAAGCAGGAACGCCCCCCCCCCAAACAGGCAACAACCAGCATAACAAAACAAAACAAAAAAGTGCCAAAATAACTAAGCAACTGGGAAAGGATATTAATGGTTTGTATACGTCAGGAAGCAGCCTGGTGCTCCCAGGCTCCATGTATAATATATAATGTATAATATATAATTTTTATTACGTTTTTCTATTTTACATTTTATAATATTCATTTGAGCAACCATAAAATATCAATGACTTCCCTTCTTCTCCTTCCATGGTTCAATTTGCATGCCATAGATCCCTGCATATTTTACATGAACTAAGCTATTCAGTATTCCATCTTTACATCCATCAAAACTTATTTACACTGTTGAATTTATCTTAATGCTGCCAATGTTTTCAAATGTACACGATTTCCCTCCATATATTCATTAAACATTTTCCACTCTTCTTTAAATGTATATTCTTCTTGTTCTCTTATTATTGGAGTCTCCAGGTTTAAACCTTCTTGCTGATGACCTTGTATTATTCACTCAAACATGGTTGCAAGATTGAGCATGCAAATAATATGGGGCATCTGGGTAGTGCATGGCATCAGTATTCAGCGGCGTAATAGTCCTTTAGAACAAACAATACTACATTAAAAGCACTGGGAGCCAGCATGGTGTAGTGGTTAAGAGCGGTGGACTCGTAATCTGGGGAACCGGGTTCGCGTCTCCGCTCCTCCACATGCAGCTGCTGGGTGACTTTGGGCCAGTCACACTTCTTTGAAGTCTCTCAGCCCCACTCACCTCACAGAGTGTTTGTTGTGGGGGAGGAAGGGAAAGGAGAATGTTAGCCGCTTTGAGACTACCGTATTTTTCGCCCCATAGGACGCACCGCCCCATAGGACGCACCTAGGGTTTTTTTTTGGGGGGGGAAATAAAGGAAAAAAAAATATTTTCCCCCAGGCATGGGGCTGGCGTGGGGGAAGCCCGAGCTTCCCCCGACCCCAGCCCCCAGAACAGCCTGCTATCCGCAAGCCTAGGGAGCCGCGCCGGTCTCCCCAGGCTTGCGGAGAGCTGTGCGAAGCCCAGGAGCGCTCTTTAGCGCCCCCAGGCTTTGGAGTGCAGGCAGCTCTGTGCGCCCCTCGGGAGCCCAGCGCGAAGCTGTGCAGGGCTCCCGAAGGTTGCGCACAGCTGTGCGCTGCCCGGGAGTTCAGGCAGCTCTGCGCAACCCGCCGGGCTCCCTAGGGGTTGTGCAGGGCTTCGTGAAGCCTGGAGAGCGAGAGGGGTCGGTGCGCACTGACCCCTCTCGCTTTCCAGGCTTCAGCGAAAGCCTGTATTCGCCCCATAGGACGCACACAGATTTCCCCTTCATTTTTGAAGGGGAAAAAGTGCGTCCTATAGGGTGAAAAATACGGTACTTAGGGTAGTGATAAAGCAGGATATCAAATCCAAACTCTTCTTCTTCTTCTTATATGTCTTGCTTTAGTAAGTTGGGGCCTAGTCTTAGATCAGTATGTGTTTAGTGGAAAATGTGAAGATCCCCCCGTTCTGTCTGTCTGTGGGGGAACATGATGCAAGAAGTTTGGAAGTCTGAGGTGAGGGCCAGTTTTTATTAATCTGAAGGAGGCACCATATTTTACTGTGATCTCTTGTTAGAGATTGTGAAGAGTAACCGTTCAAATCCAAAGAAGTACTCACCACCACAGCTCTTCTATTACAAATTGCATTTGCACACGTGACACAGGCATGACCCTCGTGAAAACGTTGCACTTGTCTCTTTGTGACTTATGCGATACAAGTTTTGCCATTTGTCGGTTCACTAGTTTTAGGCTAGCTCTAATCGCTTGTATCACTTGTATTTTGCTTAGATTGGTCCATGTGAACTTCTGGAACTTCTCACTCAACTTTTGGGCAGATCCAGACCTACGCATGCTTAAAATACACTCATTAAAATCAGTGGAACTTAAGTCCCTCATGTCCTCATGACTAACAACAAGTCTATTGATTTCTATAAAGCAGGATGGGTAAACGTGGATAACCGTTTTGGAATTTCACAATTTAAGAATTTAAAATGTGATTTTAAAGGGATATTTAACCAAATTTGTCGTGTGTGTGTGTGTTTTAATCTGAGTTCAAAACAGTCATGATTGTTGAATTGTACCCAAAGAAATAGACTTCTGTGCATGGTGATTTTTTTGTTTTTGTTTGAGAAGGAACCTTTTCCCTCCCTCCAGCTGGCTGTTTTATACATTGCTCCCCCTACAAAAATAAACATCACTAGTAAAACCCTAAGTTTCAGAAAGCAGCTGCTGTAAGGAAAGGGGTAAAGGTTCACTGCCTTTGCAGAAACTTATAGACACCTTAGCAGATCTCAGCAAAAATATTCAGTGTTGCTCCTATATTGCAGTTACTGTATCTGTGATATTTCAAAGGAATAGATATGATTAATTCATAAAACATGGGCTTCATAAGTAGACATTTCATAAGAGTTCTTATCCAAAGTTATACTGTGCTGTGCTTTTAGTGAAAATGCAGCCATTACTTTTAAGTCTGCTTATGAAACATTTATGATGCATATTTATATGGCTAGATTGCAGAAAAATTCCACAGCTTGAGAAATAAATAATACCTCCCTCGTCATTTAATTCCCAAGTATCACAGTTCTTTCAGAATCCAATCAGAAAAAAATGTAACTTCATTTGGGCGTAGAGATTTATGTACTTATCATACTAGCGCTCTCTCTTCCATCCATAAAGAAAATTTAACAAATTCAGCAGAAATTGTAGTGATGTAAATGAATGGTGGCAGGTCACAGTTTCAAAATTATGTTTCTGCAGTCCTGTTAGCCTACAGCCATTCAACAGCCACATAGGCAGTTTGAACAAGACACGCTACATTTAGGATCTGGGAGACAACCAGAATTCATCCAATATTATCTGCAAAGTTAACACTTCTAGTCTTATATGGAGAGACACTATCCCTTTGAAATATAGAACTGCAGAGTTGGAACGGACCATGAGAGCAATCTAGTCCAACCCCCTGCAATGCAGGAATCTTTTTGCCCAACATGGGGCACAAACCCACAACCCTGAGAGTAAGACCCTCATTTTCTACCAACTTAGCTAACTCATTGTTACTTCATTAGAGGATGCTGACCCTTCATTGGCACCTTGAAATGAGTTTAAAATTCGCTGCTAAGAATGCCACATTGCCAGTTTTCAGTTTAAATGTATGTACCTGTAAAGGACGGGACGGCGGTGGCACTGTGGTCTAAACCACAGAGCCTAAGGCTTTCCAATCAGAAGGTTGGCAGTTCAAATCCCCACAACGGGGTGAGCTCCTGTTGCTTGAACCCAGCTCCTGCCAACCTAGCAGTTCGAAAGCACGTCAAAGTGCAAGTAGATAAATAGGTACCACTCTGGCGGGAAGGTAAACGGCGTTTCTGTGTGCTGCTCTGGTTTGCCAGAAGCGGCTTAATCATGCTGGCCACATGACCCGGAAGCTGTACGCCG